TCACGTTATAGGGGCGGGATCGGCCAATCAAGGTCCGGTCGCGTGGGACGTCACTGCCAGCCAATGGGGAGGCGGTGCATCAGGGTGGGGGCGGGAGAAGCTGCGGTCCTGTGATTGGTGGAATGCGCCGGGGAGGCCTTGGGGGCTTGGGGCGTCGGGGAGTGAGCGAGGTGGACGGGGCTGTGTGCGCTAGCGGAGACAAAGCGGTAGCTGTAGTGGCTGTGGTGGCGGCTACAGAGCTGCCTTCAACGCTGAGTTTCGTGGTGCTGAGTCCAGTCGGGCGGCGGCAGAGGCGGCGGCAGCAGCAGTAGCAGCAGCACATGGTTCCAAGAGCGCCCTGCGGTTGTTGGGTTCCAATTCCGCGGGGAGGGACAAAGGCAGCGACGAGCTCCCGGCAACGCCCGGTTGGGTGGTGCGCTCGCTACTGCTCTTGATCCTGGCCTTGAAAGCTAGTGGTAACTCCTTTCCGTGAGGAGGTGACCACGGGACCGAGGCCCAGGAAGGGCCTGAGAGGCTGAGGCCGCTGTCTGAGGGAAGTGGGGGAGGGGCGCGGCCCTCCCTTTGGTGATTTGGGCGGGTCAATTGTGAGGCCCTCCTGTGGGCTTGCGTGAGGTAATTTACCCACCACCCAGAGGAGATTGGGGTGGGACAGCAAGTCGGGTTTGCCTCGGCTTTGAAAAAGGAAATCTTCAGTCAGCGCCAAGGAGCTCTTTCAGTTGGGAAGTACTGAAGCCGGAACTACCGCCATATGTACCCGATCAACATTGTGGTACTCAGTCTAGAGCCTATTTAAGAATCTTGTCATCTGGTGGCGAAGACAATGGGTGACTGTTTAGTTTTATGACAGAAGTGGGTAAATTCCGGGTTGGTAAGTATCCAGATTGGTAAAGTTCCTGATCACAGGAAGTTTATGGGAACAGCAGCAACAAAAGACTAAAAGAATACGAAGATGCAACAGTAATAAACCACCAATTTAAGGACCATATATTCCAGGATAATCAACATTCAGCTCGTCCTCTGAATTGAACTATTGCCAACTAAAGTTAAAAGCTCCTCAGAACCGTAGATTTATGACGTAGTTCTTTCTGAAAAATTACGTCACAGTCATTGAGAAGATTAAAAAAAAACCGCAGAAGAAATCAACTGTAGTTTTAAACATCTCTTTGAATATCTTTGAATATATTCCAGATAAACATTAGGTAACTTTGTTTAATCATCATTCAGGAGTGCAGACTTACTAAACCTTTATTGGAAGAAATCCTAGAAAAATCTATTCCGTTATAAAGTTAAACTGCTCAGTTAGTGGGTAGAAGACTGGAGAACTCATTGAAGTCATGGCCTTCACAAATTACAGCAGTCTGAATCGAGCTCAGCTAACCTTTGAATATCTGCACACAAATTCGTAAGTATCCAGTAGTTGCCACTGGTTACCAATAACTCAATCCTTGATGTTAATATGAAAATCCTTTCCCCAGAAAATTTTCCCTTTTTTGGGATGTATCCCTGGAGTGTAAATATGTCACTGGATATCTTGAGCTCTGTATTGAAGAACTGAGATCAGTGAAATATGCGTTGCTAATCCAGAAGATCTGATTTTCATTTGTTGGATCAGAATTTTCCAAATACAAACTATAGTTATTTGAAGTTGATATGTTGAGTGTCAAGTGTCTGATAGAAATCCAAGAAGTATTGCTCTTTGGATCGCCAAAAATTGGACTATTAGTATCAACTGTTTCTCCTCTTTAGTGACAACAGCTCAAACCATTGGGTTTATAACAAGTGTTTCTAACAACAACCAAAAAATGAAGACATTTAAATCACAACTTGTGGGAAGAAAATTTTAATTTTTTTCAGCAAACAGTTTTGGTCCCTACATACAATATAGTTTGTATATGCTAAGCAGAAAGTGACAACTTCTTTAAACCGTTGATTTAGATAGTCTTTCCTCAAAATGTGTGAAATCACAGAAGCATACTGGGTTCATGGTTCTTGAGTTCCTGAAGAGATGATCATCACTCCAGTTTGATCTGGAATGTTTTAGGGTTAATTCTTATGCCCACTCTCTTGGAATTTATCCAAGAGATAAATGGAGTCAAAACTCTAGCTTTAATACGTTCACTTTTTATTTTTGAGATGAAGGTAAGTATTTTACCATTTTAGTACCTAGAGAGGTTGTGAGCAGCTAAATGAATAGCCCAGAGTTACCTGAAGGGCCATCTTCAGAGTCGAGAGTGTAGAGTTAAGTTACCCAGTAAGAGTAGTACAGTATTTTTAGTCTTTTATGGAAAAGACAGCATACGGTTTGTGATTTCATAATGACTTAATTTTTCCTATAGTGGAAATAAAATTTTTTTGAGTGGTGAGTAAATTTTCAAATATTGAGACATCAGTTTTATTTTGTGTTATTTAGGAAGCTTATTCTAGATTGTTTTCAAGCAGGTAATGTAGAGGTCACCTAGGTAAATTCTCATACTTACAGATGATGAATTTGAAACCCAGTTAAATGAACTTGCCATCAGCTAATAGCACAGCCTTGGGAAAACCTTCCGTGTCTTTTATATTTGAACTGCCTTGTTAAGAACAATCTATTGAAGCCCACTTAGATGTTCATGGATGATTGTGTTTCATAAATCATTATCTCAGTTCTGAATTTTCAATGACAGGATAAGTTTGGAATTATAGACATGATAATCTTGGAAGATTATAAAGAACTTCAGAATCTGGGTTCTTCCAATCTCACCAAAGACTTTATGTATTAAATATTAGTAACAACAGTAATTGCTTCATGCCAGTCAGTTTTAAATGTTGTCTGCAGTAATCTTTACATTAATCTTTTATGTTTAAGGATTATTTCTATTTTGTCTTTGAGGAAACTGAGGATCAAAGAGATTGAGTTATACACTAATGATTACACGCCTGCTAAATAGCAAACTTAAGGTGCTGAGATTTAAGGCAATAAAATTTAACTGGTCACAGTGGTTAATGCATTTAGCCATTAGTCAATTTTATCTTCAAGGGCCTGTCTTCTTGTCTATAAAGCAAAAGGTATACCATGCATTCTAAAAGTTATCAGTTTTAGGGAGACAAGCAGGTTGTGTAGTGGTTATGGTCCTAGATTCCCACATGATTGACTGCTGTTCAAGTCCTGGACCTGGTGGCTTGAAACTCATGCTGGGTTCATGTGCGTACATATCCCGAATCCCTAGAAGAGAACGGAGGAGAAGAGATTGTGGCATGGCCATTCCCCCTAGGGGCTGATTTCTCACTTTCCCGCTCAGTCTCTCTCTGGCAAGCACACATACCTTATGACAAAAACCTAAAAAAATAAAGGTTTTCATTTTAGTTTATCTCAATGTGTCTGATTTCAGGATTCTGGGTTATTTCCTCCTATTTTTTCCCTCAAATTAATATTTATAACTTGTTAACAATAGACGGACAGCATCAAGGCAAAGAAGCAAACCTCAGAATAGTTTCATGTTTGTAAAGTTGGAGAGTTTTTTGTGAATTTGACTTACTGTGTCCTATTGGATCCACCTGCTTGCATGAACATTTGAGAGTTAGAATTTTAGAAACTCTGAAATTTATCTGGATTATCACTTTGACCTTTGCAGTTCTACTTTGAATATGTCTAGTTCTACTGGAAGAGAATATGAACCCAAGATAAGGATTTTTTAACTAGTTTCAAGAAATATTTTTATTATGGTGACTTTATTGGAAGTTCCATTTAAAAAAATATTTAACTTTATTTATTGATTTGACCAGAGAGTGACAGAATGAGAGAGAGAGAAAGTGAGAAAGTAAGCTGCCAGGTCAGGGACTTGAACAGCAATCAGTCATGTGGGAGTCCAGCACCCCTAACCACTATGCCACCTGCTGGCCCCTAGAAGTTCATTTTTAGAGAGGGGTGAAATTTGTAATTTCTCACGTTATGTGACCTGTTACTTATAATGATGGAGGATAAATTTCTAGTGTTATGTGGTTTAATAGGTTATCTTCAGAGAAGAGAAGATTTGTTTCCTTTAGTTCTGTTAACATTTTTAAAAAACAAGACTCTGTTCTAAGGTGTCTGACATCTATAGTATTTCTGTAGGGTAAATTTTAAAAGAAATGGTCCTTTGCTTACTTCTCATATAATACAGACTTGCAAGGATTGGCCAGAACAGAATGGTGGGAATCTGTGGTGCAGTGAAAAGACTAGGCTTAGGAGCTAGCCATGCCTGGATTTGACTGCTTCCTGGCTCAGTCCTTGGGCAGGTCAACTTTTTGAACCTCAGTTTCTTCATCTATAAGATGAGATTAATCTGACAGGCAATGCTTATAAGGACAATGTAAAATAATGTCTATGAAGTTCTTTGCTCATACGTGGCCCACAGTAAACATCAAGTAGATGATTGTTCTGTTTCTAGTATTAGTTTATATAAACCTAAAGTTGGTCAGTTTGGTGGCAACTTGCTGTTTGGTGCTAGTCATTAGACAAATTTTACTAAATTTTAGAGCATCTGTTGAAGGCAATAAATGTCTATTTTGAACTTTTTTGGTATCACATCTGTGGTACGTCTTTTTTTTTTTTTTTGGTTATCTTATCTCTTGGTTACATCAGTTTAAAGCAGGCCTTGGAAATTTTCATTACAGTCTGAAAATCTTAGTCTAGTTTCTTTTAATATTGGATGTTGCTTATAGGAAATGATAAAAGTTAGTTTTTAAAAGGAGTTACTGCTTGTTGGTAATGCGTTTTGTGTCTACTGTTCCCAATAAAATGGTGTAAGATACATTACCTTAAGTCGCTTTATTTGCAGTACCAGTAAGTGGTCTGAGATAGCTGGCTGCTCAAGTATAAGATGACTAATTTTTATGTCTGTTCCTATTGGCATATTTTTTTCTTTTTTATGGAGAGGTTTTTGCTACAGGGCGCATGCGCTCACCAGAAAGACAGAGAGAGACAGAGAGACAGAAAGCGAGAAATCACTCCCCAGGAGGGATGGCCACGCTGCAATCCCTTCTCCATTCTACTTTTGGGATCTTGGGCACGCAAGCACATATGCCCGGAGTGAGTTTAAGCCATTGGGTCCAGGACTTGAACCTTAGTCGACTACATGGGAGTCCAGCGACATAGCCATTACACTAACTGCTGGTCCCCCTATTGGCATATTTATCTTGGCCATGTGCTGCTTCTGGGTGGTTTTATTTGTATGTGAAGTGAATCTAAAGGAGCCTATTAGCTCAGAGACTTGTTTTTCTTATGATTTAAAAGCCTGTTGAAATGTAGGTTCACATTCTAAATATATAATATGAAAGCCATTCAAATGTAAAATATTGGCTCCAGAATTTCTCAGCTATATTTTCTAGCAATTAAGTCAATTAACTTAACTGTTGTCCGAATATCCAAGAACTCTACTGAAGCTATAACCATCTGATGGGTTTGTGGTTAATCTATTGGTTTAAATTCAGGCTGAAAATAAATAGGGAGATCTTTTTTCTTACATAACTAGTGAGTTTGTCCCTGGAAATGCTAAACTGTGGAACTGTTTCTGCTGTGGCACAAATGGTATAAAAGCCACAATCACATTGAAAGCGAAAACGATATTAAAAATCTTTCTTTTCTGGTTGATTGATCTTTCTTGGGTCATACATAAAGAATCTTTGGGTCTGAGAAAAATTTCTTTTGATATTCATTCTGTCTTTAATGCTAGTTAGGAATGAGTGCACCTTTGGGATATGATTTGGAAGAAAAAAACCTTATGCAGTTGGTATTTTTTGATTTTATGACTTCTTTTTTTGGGGGGGAGGGGAGGTTTTTGCTATAGGGCGAGTGCACTTGACCATAAAGACAGACATAGAGAGACAGAAAGCAAGAAATCACCCCCCTAGGGGGATCGCCACGCTGCAATCCCTTCTCCTTTTGGGATCTTGGGCACACCCTCACACACACCCAGCATGAGTTTAAGCCACCGGGTCCAGGACTCAAACCACAGTCAACTACATGGGAGTCCAACAATATAGCCATTATGCCAACTGCTGGTCCTGATTTTTATGATTTTTAAGACACGTTTAGCACACTGACTTTAGTATCTGGAAGATCCATTATTAATCAGTTGGAAGTCTGTAGAGAATTCTAGTATTGTCTCTGACCTTAACAGCTGTTGTCACAAAAGGCTCCTTTTATGATGTACACTACTATGACAAAAGTACCCCTTAGCTACATTCTATGGATGTCTGATAGCTTATCTGAAATATGTATGTGTGGAATAGCATTGATACTGTGTGGAACAACTAAGACCATTTGGATTTTTTTTTTTAAAGATCCTAAATGTACCAGGCACATTTCTAAACATTATATAGAAAGCAGTGAAAGCTTGTCTATAGGTACTTTGTGCTTGCCCTTTTGAAATCTACCCATTTGAT